TTTTTTTGTTTTTTTTTTTTTTTTTTTTTTTTTTTTTTTTTTTGTAACATGTTCGGAGTTAATGTTGCAAAGAGTAGTTTACATCTTCACTTTCTGAAGACACTTGAATTTAGGACCGATGTATCTGTGACAAGCACCATCCTCCATGGGGATCCAAGATCGGAGACACAAAGCAACAGCCTGCCCAAATCCTTCTGTTCATCCTGTACACTTCCAAGATTGGTCCATGCCAACACAGCCTTTGGGCATCAAACATCAGAAGGTCTGTGTACCTCGGCCCTGCTAAGGGGCAGGTTTCTCTCGTGCTCTCCTGAATCTGGGAGTAAAGGCACTACCAGGAGAGAGGGGCTGCCCGACCCTGCCCCAGCCTGGACCCCTTGGGCTCAGATCCAGGTGCAGAGCCCCCCCCCCCCCCCCCGGTCTCCTGAATCTGGGAGTAAAGGCACTACCAGGAGAGAGGGGCTGCCCGACCCTGCCCCAGCCTGGACCCCTTGGGCTCAGATCCAGGTGCAGAGCCCCCCCCCCCCCCCCCGTGTCAAAGTTGTTATGTTTTTGTTTTGTTCTATTGTAGCTCTTTTTTTCCCTTTCCTGATGATTGGTTTTTAAAAAGAAAGTTGCTCAGAAAGCCCTGGCAGTGGGGAGGAGGGGCAAGAAGGACGACTAGCTATAGGGAGGGTGGTGGGTTTTTGCCAGAAGCCTGGGTAGAGCAGTCTGGATCGCCTGGTGCCTCCTGAGCGGGGCCTCAGGTCTCTCCTGTGTGCACAGGGCCCGGGATGTGCCCCAGCCCCACCCTCTCCTTCAGCCGTGTTGATAGCAGAGGCAGAGAAGATCAGAGCATACAGCCCATTTCTGACTGGAGAGGAAAACTTGTCACCGGCTTTGCGGAGAAGGTTCCACCTTAATGCTCATAGTACGTTATCTTTACCATGTGCTAGGATATCACACTTACAAGGACAAAAAAATGTAAAATACTTGAATGAGCTTGTATTATAACATTAATATTATTGAGAGTATCTGCTTTCCAGGCTGAAGTGATTCATTCATTATTCTAGTCCTGCTTTAGTCGTTTGTAATTTGTGGTAATTATGCTTTTCTTTTTAATACAAAAAAAATGTATAAAAATAAAAACTTGAAAAGGCAAAAGCCTGGCTGGTCTCCCATGAGGGCTGCAGCTGTTGGGTGTGTGGGGTGGAGCCTGGTTCGCCTTCCGACCGCAGATCCAGAGGAGCCTGCGCTCGGGATGTGCCCATGAAACCTCTGCGGGGCTCTGCCACTGTGCTGTCGGGGAGTCTGCCCAGGGCAGGGGCTCCCGACACAGCTTCTACGGCTGCTAGTGCTTCCAGGTGGTTCCTCGGAGATACGGAGAGCTTCTGCCAGCCTTGAATTCATGTCCGCCTTGTGTCTCAAGTGAGATGGGGGAGCTGTAGGCAGTGCCACAGACCAGAGCGACCCCATTCCAGCAGCTGGAATTCCAGGACTTCAGGCACTGGCTGTGGCTTGGCATGGTGTCAGGGCACAGCCAGGAAGATAGAAGTTGCTGTGACTCCTCACTGGACAGACTTCCCTGTGGGGTATAAAGGAGGGACCGACACTGGCCCTGTGGAATCCAGGTCGGCCACCAAGCCCTGAGGATTGACGCCGGGGAAGGAAGGATGAGCGCTCCCACCAGGACTGGCCCCTGGGCCGCTGGTGCCTCTCCCTGGCCCGTGAGGCCAGGCACCAGCAGTGATAACAGTCTGAATGCCGGCCTGGCCTTGGGGTGTCATTACAAAACGAAAAATGAGCCTTGTTTACTCATTCACTGACAGCTGTTTGTCTCCTGGGCCTGGCACTTGAGCGTCCCATCAGAAATGGTTTTCCAGACAATTCCACCTTGTGTCAGGTGAACAGGAACTTTAAGAGCACCGATGGCCTGCAGGGGCCAAAGGTGAGGCTAGGAGACAGTGGGCAGGGCTTCTGCAGGCCGCTCTGGGAAGAGGAAGACATCCGTTCCTTCCACGGCTTGCTGGGAATACCCTGAAAGAAGCCACAGAGTGTTGCCTTGTGCTGCTGTGGCGCCCAGACACCATGTGGTCGTGATGCCAGAACGACTCATGTAGGGAGAGAAAAACCCAAGTATCCACTGCCGTCAGAGGAGACTGGTTGGTTTTCCATGCTTTCTCCATTCACGTTCACATTTTCTGCTGCCAGTGTTGAGACCTCGACCTTTCCTTGAGGCTATTTGGTAACCAGTGTCGGGGCCAGGCCCAGCGACCTGCCTAAGAAAAAGGGTGAGAGAACGGGGCCCCTCGCCCCTCTGCGCCCCAGCAGTACCTCCAGGTCAACAGATGTTAAAAGGAGAAAGACCGCCATTCTTCCTCTTTCTCCATACTCCTCATTCCCGACCCTCGCTCAGTGCACTGAAGAGGGGCTGTTTTCCAACTGTTTGTTTATTCATAGGACAGGTTGTGGGTGCAGGTCAGCAGCTATGAGCACGCCCAGCACTGATGCACCAGGAGCTGTGCTCAAGCGAAGGGCATGCGGTCCCAGGGAGGGGGCTGGGCCCACCCAGGCCCGAGGAGGACGCTGCCTGCTAAGCGCCTGGTCGGCCTCTTGGGCAGGTCCCCTGGGGAGATAGGGCCCGTGGCAGGAGATCGTCCTGTGACAGCTCTGCCTGGAGATGTAGCCCTATCAGATGTTAAAAGTATTTTATAAAACTACAGCAGGTGGTTTTCTGGACAGAGGAGAACTGAATGTTCAGGAAAATGTCAGACTTTGGAAACTATAATGGTGGCCTTGCAAGTCAGAGTGTCTTCACGTTGATACCGGGAGCCACAGGGTTCCTGGCAATGTCAGAAGCAGCTGAGTGAACCCAGGGTGGGGACTGCTTCCACCTGGGCAGCTCTGTGGTTTTGCTGTAGGCAATAAGGTCTCACTGGAAAAGGCATCACTGCTAAAGTCATCCTGTAAAAATGGTGCGGAAACGACTGGTTCATCATTTGAGGGGGAAATAAGGATTTTACCCTCTGTTCAGCCGTGTATTTCTTGCCTTAGTGGAGGAAGAGGGTTCTAGCTCCTTTGGTCCTGCTTCAGAGAGCCTGATAAGGGGCCTCAGTTGGGTGTCCCCAAAGGTCAGCAATTCTGACCCTACCCTCTGTGGCTAAAAGGGGGCCCCAGCTGTGCGGGGCCACAGGCTTTTGCCCTTTGGTTTCCGCCTGTGGCTGAAGGTATTGGGGTTTGGTCTGCGCCTCTTTTTGGTATCTCAGTTGTAATCCCAGGAAGAGCTCCTGTGATTGGTATTTTCAGAGAGGGGTGATGTCCAGTTGCAGTGGGGCAGAGTTGAAGTGGGGTCTTTATCACACCGCGTGTCTGTGCGTGTGCGTGCGCGTGCGTGTGTGTGTCGGGAAGCAGCGGGGACTTGATCCCAGAGCCGTTGCCAGGGTGTCCTGGCCCTGGCCTGAGTAGAGAATGAGAGAGGCTTTTGGGGACAGGAAGGGGCAAAGCAGTATCTTCTGGTTCTCCCACCCCCTGGCATCAGGAGGAGCTATGGCTGGAGCCACACGGCCTCCTGCCACCTTTGTCATTCTCTGTCTTGCCAGGGCTACCAAGGAGTCATCTGGTGTCCCTCTCCCCTCCCACAGCAGAGGACCAGAGGGACCCCCCAGGAGCCCTCTCAAAGTGGCTTCTTCCCTCTGACTGGCCTCCATTCCAGGGAGCGACATTTTTTCGTTACGCCAATCCCTGGTCCCCTTTGGGATGACAGGGGTAGTTGGGGGAGCCCTGGTCCCCTCCTTGGGCCTGCATTTCCAGGAAGCTGACCTTCCCCCTGCCCTCGTGGTTTGTCATCAGAGTGCGTGGCCGAAGGAGCGAGTTGGTAGGTGCGACCAGGAGGCCCCAGGCCACCTTAGCAGACCGTGCAGAGGGCACGGCTAGGATGGCACTCGGGCCGTGTCTTAGTCCGTCTTCTTCGGGGGATCGGGGATGCTCTCGGAGAGCGGGGTGAAGCCCAGCAGGATCATGTGTCTCTCGTAGGCCTTGGTCTGCTTAAACACAGTGTCAGTCCCGTGGAGGTGGTCCAGCACCCCCAGCACCCCGTAGCACTGGTTGAACCTGGAGGGGAGAGGAGGGTGCTGGAGGCGGGCGAGCTCACGTTCATTTCACCTGTGCCAGCCTCGCACACATTTCTGAGCCCCCCTATCCTACACCCATCCCCACCGTGCTGCCCACCTGCTTCCGGTTAACCCAGGCGGTGGTGCACATATTCCTGGGGCCATTCCAGACTGAAAGGCTATGCTCTGCCTTTGGAAAGCTCTCTGTGATTTCGATACACACAAGTCAGAACCTGCGGCAAAGCCAATTTGTTCAGGTAGGTTCTGGGGACCACCTCCATCAGAATCCCCTGGAACACTTAACTAAATGCAGATGCCAAGGCCTGCTCCCCCAGATGCTTTGATTCAGTGTATTTGGAGTGGAACCCAAGAGGCTGCATTTGAGGAAAGCATCTCAGGTGATTCTGGTGCAGGAGTTTCCTAGACCACACCGACGAGCCTGGAGGCTTTCAGAGCGTGCACAACTTCTATTGAATTGCCTGCGGGAATTCTATGCATGTATGCATCTTCCTGGTAGTGCCCATGGCTTACGCTAGATCCTCAAAGGGTCCAGGACCTAAACGCAGGTTAAAGACCCATAGTGGCAGGAAGATCCAATATCAGACAGAAAGAGAATGGCAAGGTGATCTGGGCCCCAGGATGGTCACCTTTGTCCCCACCTGCAGACCTCTCCCTCCACTAGACCCACATTTGAACTGAGACACCGGAGTCTGCTGTCAGGAGCTCTAGGAGTAAACGTGGGGGCTACTGCCCAGAGACCCGCAGTGGGGAGGGTTGCCTTACTTGAGATGGTGGTAGTCATGGAATTCAGGTGAAGGCAAGAAGGGTAGGTGGTAGCCACAGTGGGAGATGATGGTGACGATGAGGACCAAAGAAAACCAAATGGTGATGGAGGACAAGTGGGAACCCATGACAATTGGACCCACCATCGCCGGCAGCATGTTGGAGACCTGCAAGGAGAGGGCTGTTCGAAGAGGGGCCCAAGGGGATGGAGGGGACGCAGGTGTGTGTCCGGGAAGACTTCTTGACCCAGATCTGGGGAAGCTGAATGAGTTTCTGGACTTGATTTGCTGAACTCCTTCAGACATGAAACTTAGGACAAGTTATTAACTGTTTGAACCTCAACTTCCTCATTAGCAAAATGAGGATTTAAACAGTTGTTGGGAGGATTAAATGAGATAACTTATGTTGGGCATCTAGCATCGCCCGGCATATACCGACAACAAATGGTAGCTGTTGAATGGGCAGAAGAAAGAGCCAGTGTGATCCCACTCTGTGCAGGAGACTACCTTAGGGAAGGGGGTTGGCGCCCGCTGCCCCTTCCTCTGGGGGAGCCGAGCTCTACTCACCACATGCTCAATAGGATGTGCGTAGAGGGAGATCACACCAATGGGAGCTGTCCACTCGTGGTGTTTCTTGTGGATTTTCTTGTAGAGTTTTGGGTGGTGAAGGAGGCTGGGAAGAGAGTTAACAGTTGATAAATCAGCCCACCTCCCTCTCCCCCTGCCCCACCAGAACACGAGAAACCAAAGGTAGGAACAAAGTTTCACATGCAGTGTAAACACGCTGGATTGGTGCTCCGACAGCCCTGCCTTGTGAGTTCTTCTGGTGACGTTGCCTCTCTCTGCCTCGGTTGTATGAGCTATAAAATAGGGAGGATGGCCAGAAAGGATTCAATTAAGGGGATGAATGGGAAAGTGCCCCGCCACACACGTGAACGGAGATCCCGGACCCTCGTCGGTGGTCGCACGTTGTCAGCTGCGGGGTGAAGAGTTGTCTTCGTGTTAGCTAGTTAGCGGGAGGCTCTCGATGCCAGGTGCTGTTGGTCGCACCCCTGCAACTCCGAGGAGGCCAGGCTTCACCCCCATTGGTGGGTGAACCTGGGAGAGTGAGGAGCTGGCTGTGCTCCGGAAGGAAAGCGCTCACCGGTGTGCATAGTAGAACAGCACTTCCTCAGTCAGCGTGAAGACGGCCAGCTCCAGGAGGAACCAGTGGAAGGTGGGTAGCTCTCGGCGGCAGGGGTCGCCCCTCAACTTGAGGATGGGATAGAGCCAGACCATCATGGGGAAAGAGATCACAAACTGGTTGCAGAGAACCACGTGGATAGACTGGCGTAGTTTCACGGGGTCCACCTGCCCGTGGGGGGAGAAGGAAGAAAGGAGGTGGATGAGAGTGTGGCAAGTAGGTCTTTCCCTTCTAGGAGCCAGGCTCCTCTGTGACCAGCTCTCGGGAGGCCCTCGCTCGGGGCTGGATGCTAGGAGTGATGTCTGCCTGTAGCCAGCAACCCCTGAGTGCTGCCCAGCCCAGGGATGGAACCCCCTGGTAATGCCCTGCCTTTGGAAACTCCCCTCCCCCGGCCTTAGTTTCTGCCTGAAGCTGCCTGCTCCTTCCTGCTTCTGCAGCTTCCACCACCGTCCTCCCCATTTCTCTGGCCAGGGCCAACGCCACGTACTCCCGACAGGCATCTTGGGGAGCCTCCAGGGTGCTTGGAGAAGGCTCCCAGCCTCATTCCTTCTTCAGCCTTTTGGTCCCTGCTCATCCAGAGAGCCTTGACCAGGATCAGGTGCAGAGATCAGGGTCGCCTGCCTCCTCGTGTGGTCCAGCCTCCCTGGATGGGAGCCAGGGAGCTGCTGTCTGGCCTGTTGTCCCGCTTGCTGTGAGCAGGTCTTGCTGGTTTTCAGGGTGAGGCTGTCAGGATGAGGGGCTGCCTGCGCATTCTCCCCAGAGCGCTGTGGGGAGCTGGCCTCGCGTGCTCACATCCCTTCGAGCCTCAAGACTACAGCCAGCATTTCCTTGGGAACCAGTGACCCCTGACCCTTGCATTTGTCAGAGCCCTGGAGCTCCTGGGAATAGCCCCATCTCCACAGGTCACTTGCTGGTCCTGATGAACTGGTTTGGCATTCTCAAAGGGGATTCCCTCCTGAGAAATGTCTGCAAGCTGGAGGGTTTCTGCTCCAAGGTGAGGCCGGGTTCAGCGTGGTCCTCATACTTCAGGCCGGCCTGTTCCTCTGGCTTTTCCATGTCCTGCGTGTATTGATGGACCAGAATTCATCCCGTGGTGAAGCCAGGTCTGGGCAGCCTTGGTTTGAGAGCACCACAGAGGAAGCCATACATCTCTTCTAGCAGCCTTGACCAGGAGGTGGGTGTGACATGTGATTATTCATTCAGCTGATATTTATTGAGCACCCTCTATGTTTCAGGCAGTGTTCTGTGTGCTGGGAAGGAAGCAGTGAACAAAACAAAGATTCCTGCCCTCACTGAGTTTGTACTCTTATCGTTTTAAGTAGAATGGTCAGGGTAGGCTTCATTGAGGTGGTGAGATTTGAACAAAGATGAGGGAAACAGGTATCTGGGGGAAGTGTCTTCTGGCAAAGGGAAGAGCTGGTGAAAAGGCTCCATGATAGGCCACACTCCTGGCGTACTTGGCTGGAAAAGAGTGAGGTGTGAGGTGGGGAGAAGCGGGAGGGGAGGTCAAAGAGGCAGGGAGGAGCCAGTGCGTATAGGGCCCCGTAGGCCACTTTGAGGACCTTGGCTTTTATTCCAAGAGAAGCGAGGGTCATCCCAAGGTTGTGAGCGGAGAAGTGACAGGATCTTACAGGGTTATTCTGGCTGCTGTGCTGGGAATAGACAGTAGGAGACCAAGAATACAAACGGGAAGACTAGAAGTGCTAAAGTACGCATTTAAGAGGACGGTGGCGAGGGAGGTGGTGGGAAAGGGCTGGATCCTGGATCCATTTTGGAAATTGCGCCAATAGGGTTTCCTGATAGATTGGATGTGGTGTACGAGGGAAAGACAGTCGCCAGGGGTGACTCCAAGGCCTCTGGACTGAAAGGCTCTCCAGCTGAGACTGGGGAGGCTGTGGGTATCAAAGGCTTTGGGGGCTGGGAGAGCAGGAATTCTCTTTGGGTCGTGTTGCATTGGAGATGTCAAGGAGGCATTTGGATGTTTAGTCCTGCGTCGGGAGAGAGTTCTGAGCTCGAGAGGTAAAGTGGCGAGCTGTTGGCGTTGAGGCGGTTATTTAAAGTCATGACGCTGAGGGGATGAGGACAGAGAAGACGACGAGGCTGTGCCCTGGGCGTCAGCGTAAAGAGGGTGGGGAGGTTAGGCTGAGGAGGATCCAGAAAGGAGGCTGTGAAGGGGTGAGTGGCGAGCTGTGAGGACACAGTGGGGCCTTGGCAGCCGGTATAAGAAGCTACAACAGGATGCGGCACGAGCAACTTGTGGAGACAGCCCTGGTAGGTCTAATGAGACAAGCCTGCGACAGGAACACTGGTGACCTTGCCCAGGACAATCGTGGTGGAGCGGTGGAGGTGAAGGCCTGATGCGAGGAGGTTTCTAGAGGAGGTGAGAGGATTGCTTTGTGATTATTTTAGGAGGTGCAGGCTGAAGGGTTTAGAGTTTTATGGTGTCCGAACTTAGCTTCAAATGATGAAGCAGAAAATTATAGATGCCTAGATATTTATAGTTTCATATACAGAAAAAGCACATATTGTAAAATGTTTAAGACAGGACTGGAGAATCTAGGTGGTATATAAATGAGTGGTCAGGGTACTACTACCTTTTCCACTTCTGTATATACGTGTTTTCAAGTTTTCATAATTCTGAAATTTTGGGAAAAGACAGTGGACAGGGAGAAATCAGAAACTGTATAGACAACTCTTTAAAGAGCTTTGCTGCAAAGGGGACCAAAAATATGAGTGGGAGTGAGTATGGGAGATGGACGCAAGGTTTTTGGTTTTGGTTTGGTTTTAAGCTGGGAAAAATTATAGCAGGTTTGTAATAAGCCAGAGAGTAAAATCCAGAAGAGGAAGGAAGAAACAAGGACAAAAGAAAGAGAAGGAAGAATTGCTGGAGCAACTTGCTGGAGTAAACAAGAGGTGCTGGGTGTAGCGTGCAGACAGTGGAGGAACGGGCTGGAGTAGGACCAGAGAGAGGCCACGGGCTGCAGCAGGTGGGCAGGCAGAGCGTGTGCGCAAGTGCTGCCCCCGGGCTGCGGTGGTGCACGGCTGTGGGAGCTGTCCTCTGCTTGAAGGCAAGGCCACCCTCTGGGAGGAGGTGACACGGGGGAGGTGTTGAGGCTCTGAGGAGGGAGGAGAGATGTGAGCTAGCCATCCAGGCCGGGAGAGTGGGAGGGTAACCAGAGCGGGGCGGCGGGGGTGGCTGGTGGTGTCCTACGAATGCCGTTGCGTCCAGGTCCCACTCGATGACCTGTTTCTGATGTCTTAGGTCAGGGGTCAGACCTTCTTGGAACGGGCCGAAGACCAAATGGCGTCTGGGGCTTCCTTCTTACTTGTGTGACTACCTGAGGGTGCACACAGTGTAGGAGCAGGTGAGACGAGCCCTGGCTCTCTTTCCAAGAACAGTCTAACCTTGAACATTCTGAACCTCAGCTCCTGCCAAATGCCACGAGACCTTCCCTGTGTGGCCCTCCATTCGTGGTAGACTGTGAAGGTTATTGCGCTAGGTGATTCTCTTGAGAGCTGATGTGGCCTAGTGGTTCAGGGCACAAGCCCTGGTGTCACAAAACTTGAGTGTGAATCATGGTTCTAAGCCATGTCACATTTCAAAGCCTCTGTTTTCTCTTCTGAATGATGAAGATGTTTACAGTACTTGGCCTTGAAGACGTACGCATTTAGTCAGTGGTGCCTGGTAAGGAGACCTCCGTGGTCTGACAGGTGAAACATTCTCAAGGAACAAGCCCTGCTTTTAACCCTTTGGCTCTGGTCCCTGCCTGCTGAGCTGGACATGGGAGAGGCCCCTGCTGTCTCAAGTGAGGGGCACTGTGAGCCAGGCCAGTAGCTCTGGTTCAGGAAGGGACCATCCTGAAAGCCTGGATCAAGGGCACTATTTCTCAGCCACTCTGCTTTCTAGAGTGCTGGCCTGGGTAGAATTCCCTGAGAGCTGAGGTGACTCACCCAGGCACCTGGACAGATAATTAAAAATGATTGTCTGGGCTTCCCTGGTGGTGCAGTGGTTAAGAATCTGCCTGCCAATGCAGGGGACACAGGTTCGAGCCCTGGTCCGGGAAGATCCCACATGCCGCGGAGCAACTAAGCCCGTGTGCCACAACTACTGAGCCTGGAGCCCGTGCTCCGCAACCAGAGAAGCCACTGCAATGAGAAGCTGGCACACTGCAACGCAGAGTAGCCCCCGCTCGCCACAACTAGAGAAAGCCTGCGCACAGTAACGAAGACCCAATGCAGCCAAAAATAAAAACAAATAAATAAGTAAATTTATAAAAAAAAAAAAAAAAAAAAAAAAAAAAAAAAAATAATTTTTTTTTTCCAAAAGAAAATGATTGTCTTTTCTGGGAAGGAAGCCAGGATGTGGTTTTGGTGGAGCTGGGGGTAAAAATAATCTGGGTTTAAGAATCAACTTCTTGGCTTCTGAGGTTGTCAGAGCACTAAGCAGGCAAGCTGGGCTCAGGGAGCAGTGAACAGTGGGGCTCAATTCCCCGGCCTGTGTACATCCAAGATATGTGCTTGGCTTTTTCTCTCCTTCTGGGCCAGGAGTTCCTTGTCAGCAAGGTCCAGGCCTTGTTTACCATGGATGACCTACGTACTATCGGTGGTACTGAATAATCAGGAAGGAGGACCTGCTTAAAAAACAACCACCACCGACACATTCACAATTAATATGATAGTGGGGTTATCCGTTGTTTCAGCAGCTGTGTCCCTCTCTCACAAGGGCAGCTGTTATCCGTGTTTTCAGCATCTAGTTATTGCTGTCCCTTCTCCCATGGATAGGTGGAGACCTACCTGACATATCTGGGACTCGGTCCAGTGCTGGGCTGAGACAATCATTTCTGTTCCTAAAATGCTGACCACAGTGCCGTAGGCCAGCACAGGCAGGTAGAGAGCCAGGCCTGGGAGTCAGAAGATTAGTCTTGACTGACATTAGTCTTGGCTGGCTGGCTAATGTCATATTATTTCCTCTCTCTAATCTTCTAACCTGGGGGAGCCTTGTACAGAATCACTTGGCTCCCACTGGCCCCGGTCTCTCCTGGGCCAGCCAGCAGAATCTGGAGAATGTGGCTTTAGCCCCTGCTTTCTGTGCTTTGACCAGGAGCAGCTGCAGCAACACTTACAGGGTCATTCTTGCCGACCTGAATTCGGTAGCGAGAGATGAAGTGAGGCTTTCCGGTTGTGTCAACCACCAGTAGAAGTCCACTGACGGTCCAGAAGAGCAGAACGGGCCCCTGGGTGGCACCTAAGGTTGGGAAGAAGGAAACGTCAGGACAACTTCAGGAGCTGGCGGCGCAAGTATTCCCTGAACACGTGCTCGGTGGTAACTGAGGCTGCGTTGTAGGCAGGCCCTTGCCAGGGCCTTGGTGTGTTGGTGCTCGGGGCCGGGGGCCTGCCTTCAGTCTTGGGGTGACAAACCTAGCTGTGGGGACGGGGATGGGTCACTTAAGGAGTGTCTCTATTTCTTTTCTTAGCTGTAGAACGGGGACAACAACCTTCCAGGTGGTTGGAGGAAAAAACAACACAAAACTATGGTAAGATGTATGTTACACTCCAAACAGAAATGAATATCGGTTGACATTTGGGCGTCTGTGCCCACTGAGCCCTTTAAGGATAGCCAAGGAAGGGAGAAGCAAAGGAGGAGTTTGGTATGGTACAGCTCACCACGGGCACTTGGGTTCCCCAATCCCCATGACCCTACGATGACATGAGCAGGGTTACTTCTTCAGGCATCCAGTGAGCATTTTCCAAAGTGGAAAACCTACCTCTCAAGGGGCTCCTGGGTTAAAACAGTCTTCACACCCTACCTTCTTGGAGAGTCAGGGTCCAGACAAGTGTGGCCACAGCTCTGAGAATTCCTGTTTGACTTTGTTAAACTCAACCTTTCTCAGGCTTTTCTTTACCCAGCACTCTGTCTTCTCAGAACATCTCAGAATAGACCGGCCATTTGTCCCTGTCTGCCCAGGACAATTTCAATATGTATCCATCATATCCATCGTGATTAATAACCCCTCCTTTATTCTCACAAATGTCCCATTTCGATGATAAGTCATATGGTCTCCCCGCCCATTAACCTCCGATAGAACCGATGTGCTGCAGGGTACTTTAGAAAATAACCGATCAGCACAAATTTCGATAGGGCTTTTTGCTCCACATCCCACTTTTCCACGAAGTCATCCCAAGTATTTCTGTTCTTCTCCTGTGAACAAATAAGCACTTTGTCCAGCCCAGTTGGCAGTTATTCAAGTGACGTTGTAGTGTCACCTAACTCTTGTACTATTAACTTTATTTTTCCTTGATTTGCCACCTCCTCTAATTTCAATATTCCAAGGAGCAAGGGTGTTTTACTTAATTCTCTGTCTCTGCATATTCTTCCTCCAGTACCCTTCTTGCTTCATCAATCACTGTGCCGTGCGGCAGTTGATACCTGAAAAATACTTGGCTAGCACTGTGAGGAAATGGGATTGGCTCAAACATCCTCAGGGCAGTTTGGCAGTATCTGAAGTGAGGAAAAGGTCACAGTGACAGACTAAGACAGAGACAGAGAGACAAAGACAGAAAGAGGGGAAGAAAGAAAAGACATACACACACTCATGCACATAAATGTCCATCTCAGCAATTGAAAAAAAAAGCACAGTAGAACATTTAAGTAGCCTAAATGTCCCGGATCTTAGTTCCCTGACCAGGGATTGAATCCAGGCCACGGCAGTGAAAGCACGGAGTCCTAACCACTGGAATTCCCAGAGAATGGCCTAAATTGATTAGAATATTTCCACACAATGGAATAGACAGGACAGCTTACAATCTTGAGCAAATCTATATCAGTTGATATGGAAAGATGTCCATAATCAATTCAATGAAAAAAAGTTAAAAAAACAGTAGATGTCGGGACTTCTCTGGTGGCTCAGTGGTTAAGAATACACCTGTCAATGCAGGGGACACGGGTTCGAGCCCTGGTCTGGGAAGATCCCACATGCCGAGGAGCAGCCAAGCCCGTGAGCCACAACTACTGAGCCTGCGCTCTAGAGCCCGAGAGCCACAACTACTGAAGCCCAAGCACCTAGAGCTCGTGCTCCGCAACAAGAGAAGCCACCACAATGAGAAGCCTGCACAGCACAACGAAGAGTAGCCTCCGCTCTCCGCAACCAGAGAAAACCCACGTGCAGCAACGAAGATCCAAAAAAAGCAGACAAAAATTAAACAAGTAAATTTAAAAAAATAGTAGATGTCTTTTAAATTTAACCAAATATGCAGTACACTAACAGTGGTTATTTCGTGGATATGAGAGGTAGGTGATTTTCACCTTCTTTATGCTTATTTGAATTGTGTGATTTTTATTTGTAACAGTGAGCGTGTATTTACTTTTATCCTCAGAAGTAAGAAACTTTATTTTGAAAAAAAAAAAAAAAAAAAGTTAGGTTGGTGGTTGCCTAGCGGGCCACCCTTCGAGGTGCCTGCCTATGTGTCAATCCAAGGGCTCCTGGAGGAATACTGAATGAAAATCACCAGAGGTGATCTTGAACTGTTTTCCAGTTCTAACATTTCAAATGGCAAATATTTTTTCTCTCTGGTATTTGCTTATCACTGAGGTGGTTTTCCCATCATCGTAACAGAAACGTATAAAATGTTTTCCCACCACTCTCCCCATGTATATTCGCAATCTGCATTGTTCTTTTCAATGAGTGCTTAAGATTCCATTAACCTGTCATGTTTAATACTCAGCCCATTTTCGGAGTTCTCTTCCTAGAAGAAAGCAATCATCAGAAACATTTTATTTCTATGTTTGCTTTGTGACAACTGACACTTTTTTAATCTCCCATTCTAGACTGTGACAAAGTTTTTTTGGTTGAGGTTTGTTTGTTTTGTAGTTATTAATTTTCTTCCAGTCAAACGGTGACATAGTTTTTTAATAGGGTAGACAGTTTACCTTAATACTTTATCTTAAATATCTCTATATCCTACAAATGAGTTTGGCACAGAATAACTTAATAAATATTATGTGAGTGAATGCATGTATGACGGAGGACAGTCACTATTGTAGATAATGCTGTCATAAATATCTACGTTAAAATAGGTTTTTTTTTCTGGGCTTCCCTGGTGGTGCAGTGGTTGAGAGTCCGCCTGCCGATGCAGGGGACACGGGTTCGTGCCCCGGTCTGGGAAGATCCCACATGCCGCGGAGCGACCAGGCCCGTGAGCCATGGCCGCTGAGCCTGCGCGTCCGGAGCCTGTGCTCCGCAACGGGAGAGGCCACAACAGTGAGAGGCCCACGTACCGCAAAAAAAAAAAAAAAAAAAAAAAAAAATAGGCTTTTTCTTCTACTAATGTTTTGAGCTTGCTTTCAGGCTTTGGCACTGTCAGTAAATACATTTTGAGTGAACACTTGCTATCAAGGCCCAAGAGCTAGCTAGATTGCACCAGGTCCAAGGACACAGCCTCACACGAGACAGAACAGCCCTTTGTACTTGTGGACCTGACATCTAGAAGCAGGATTACTGCTCTCACAAGCATTTGTTTTCACACAAACTATTTCTTTTTTTATTTTTCTATTTGGGGGGATGGAGGAAGCGTCTCAACTTCTTTTCTTAGATATCCTTAAACATCCATTCCAGATTAACCCCCAAATTTAGCACTCTGGGGTTACCACTGCCTTAAACTTTAAGTCCTCATTCCTTAGAGTAATAAACTGAGAAGTCCCAAAGTAGAGAACAAAAGAAAAAGAATTAAGCTATAACCATGTACCCAAACCCTAAGTGCTGGTGGTCTGGGTATCTCACCTAGAACGTAGAGGAGCCACTCCTTCCCTTCGAATGTAGACAGCAGCCTCTCCCACTGGGCTTGCCAGAAGTAGCCAGAAGCACCCCAAAATCTCTGAAGATGCCTTGAAAGAAAACTCATTCATGTTTCTGGGTGAAGACTGGTGGGTGGACAGCTCCTAAATCCATGCTCTGCCCATAGACCGCCACCGCACGGCCCCCAGCTCCCGAATTAGAGCTGGCCGAGAAGACTCACCATGTGACTGAGTTCCAGAGGGCCACAAGCAAGAGAAGGCCAGAGCCCAGGATGAAAGCCGTCCTCCTCATGGAGCCCCAGATGTGTCCCTCCTAGGGGAGGACAAGAAAGCGTCAGGTCCCAACAAGCCTCCTGCCTTCGCACGCAGCTCACTGCTGAAGCCCGGCAGGAGTGAGGTGCCATCAGGATCTCAATCGTGCCACCATGGCACATCTGCTGACATTTTCCCAACTTCCGTGGAAGGCTCTTCCTTAATCGAGAGCTCTCAGGCTGTGTGCGGAGGTGAGTATGAAAGTTAGAGCTTAAGGTTGGGGGAGGGGAGAGAGCAAACCTGATCCAGAGAATCTAGCATGCAATTTTGTCACCCAGAGAAGGACAGGTGAGCTTTCCAAGAGCCATGGGATTTCATGACCAGTCTTCTTGTTGAACAGAAATGCAGATTATTTGTACATTGGAATCACCTGGGAGCTTTCAAAGACTCCCAATATCCGGGATTACATAAGAGTCTCTGCGGGGGCAGGGGAGGTGGGGCTGGGCCTCCCTGTCTTTTAAAGGTCCCCAGCTAATTCCAATGGACAGGCGGAGCTGGCTTGGCCATCACAGAAGGATCTGCAGAATCCTTGATGAGGCCACAGGGACTTCAACTGTGTTCCTGAGCCAGGCCTATTTTCCCTTTTGCCCTTGAAGAAAAGAGTAAATAAATATATTTTCTGACTTGTAATATGTCCTCTGCTTTCCAGAGATATTAGTCTGGGCTGCCAGCTGAACGGGACAGTGATGGCTTCTAGGGGCAAAGAACAGACCGCTGGCCGTCACTGGGCGGTCCTTACACTTTCTCCTCCAGAAGCCTAAAACAGTGGCCATTGCGAGCTCGATGGTCAACCAGCAGGTCCCAGACTTGCGGAAGCAAAACCCTGGCTGCCAGGTGTGTCACCAATTTCTATAGTACCTTGGGCGGGAATGACAAATGTCCATTACAGCCTATGTTTCTACGCCCAGATGCAGTCTGCTAATACTCTTTCATGGGAGAGGACCGGAGGTGGTGGTCCCTATAGGTGTGTGCAGTTAGTGAACCAGGTCACGTACACTGTTGTAGGGGAAGCTGATCTAATAGGGGGCCAGGTTTTAATCCAGCCTTTGGAGATCTAAAGGAGCAGACCGTTTTGACTGACTCATTCAGAGCAACCTGGATCTGCACTGACTCTTTTCTTCTCTGATTACCCCTATCCCACTTTTGATCAGAAGTTAGTAAGTCGTTTTCCATGGCTAGTGAAATGTTTTTAAAGGTCTAGTACTCCTCAGGTCCTGAGGTTTGAAAAATGACCTTCTGTCTCTCTGAGCTCTGAAAATGACCTTCTGTTTCCCTCTCTCTCTCTCTCTCTCTCTCTCTCTCTCTGTCTCTCTCTCTCTGTCTCTCTCTCTGTCTCTCTCTCTCTCTGTCTCCCCCCGTTAAGGGCTGGATCGACAAGACCACAGAAACTTGTTCCTTTATACAGGCTGTTCAAAGGTCACCCCCAAATTTGCCAGACAGTTCATCTTGGGCTTTTGCAATTATTCCTTTTTTAGGATTCAAAGGACCCTTTTCCGGAGCTTTCCAGATTCACTAGGAATTTTTCATTTGAGTTTAATCAAATCAAGCCAAGTCAAATTTAAAACCTCGATTTCACATGTAAGATTAGACGTGTTTTCAGGGATAGTGGTGTTTTCTCTCTCTAGCAGCCTGAGGGCCAGGTAAATAGACAGGACAAAGGTCTCTGTGAAGGGCAGGAGCACACAGCACAGAAGTTATCTGGACTCAACAGCTGGTTCCCACCCCCAGTTCCCAGCCCCCAGTGGGCCTCTCTTGTCCCCAGAGCAGCTGTAGAAAGGGGTGGTTCCAAAGGCCTGAGCCTGGGGCATTCTAAGTGCCAAGAGACCTTGGTGGGACAGCTACGGGGCTCTTCAGCTACCTTCATGCGGGCAGAGGGGCTTGAGTGATAATCAGGCAGCTGGAGTCAAGTGATTCTGCTCAGCTACTGAAGCGAGCACTTCACTAATATGTCAGCTATCCCGAAACCTTGGAGGGGCGGGTGTTGTCAGTTATGCTGCAGGCGCAGATGTGGAAAGGGTCACTGGCTGCATTCTCACCAGTTTGGTGGGTGAGGTGCTCGCATTTACCTGCTTTTGCTTTTCATTGTGTGGCACACTTCCAGCTTCTCCCTTCATCTGGAATGAAAAAGCACAAGTGAGCCTGGATGTCATTTTCACATGCAACCAAGAAAGTAAGGAATAGAGAGTCAAGGTGAATGGCCAGCAGTGGTTTTTAATGCTGGCAACTCATTAAAATCACCTGGGAGTTACCAAAAAAAAAAAAAAAAAAAAAACCCACAAAAAAAACCCC